TTAATCAATTTATACATTTATAACTTGTACTAGCAATTTAGAAACGTAATTTTAAAAATGCATTTTTTTAAATAGCACAAATACTCAGAAAGTATAAATAATGTAAAATAATAAGTATAATATGATAATATAAGTAGAAATATAAAATATAAATATGAGTAGGAATATACAGAAAGATGAAGCTAATTATGAGTGGACACTTTTGACATCATTAAACTAATAAATCCCTAAACTTTCTGCTTTCTTGGCTCTTTTTTCTTCCCCCGGTACCTGCAGCATTCCGTCGAAGTTCTTGACTTTGAGGTGCGGCGGCAGCTTGAACTGGTTGCGGATGTCGTTGCGGCGCTTGCCCGTGTAGGGCACGTCCACGGTGAGCACCAGCGCCCGGTAGCCCAGCGCCTCCACGCGCTGCACCAGCTGCTCCGACAGCTGCCGGTCCCGGTACACGTACAGCTGGAACCAGCGGGGGCCGCCGGGCGCCGCCGCCACGATCTCCTCCACCGAGCAGGTGGAGTAGGTGCTGGTGATGTAGACCGTGTTCAGGGCCTCCGTGGCTGTGGGGGGGTGGGGAGTCGAGGAAAAGATGGGATTCACACACTGATCTAATCCATATCACAGTAAGCTGTCGTTTGCATTTGATTGCACTGATTTCGAAATGAAATGAAATTAAAGCCTTTATTGTCATCATACATGCGTACAACGAAATTTGGATACCGTATGCAGCCACATAGGGCGCTCCGATTTTCCTTCAGAACCAAAAGAACATTGGGAAAGCGGTTGCGGGAAGAGGGAAAAAAAAAGGCCCGGTGCCACGCTCCCTACAGGGGCCGTAACAGTGATTTAAAAAAAACACCTCGTACACTAAAGCTGTTTTGTGCCTTTCAGGCTGATTATCTCCAAGATAAAAGTCACTTTACGTGACATATAGGTTTGAAAAATGACTTATAAATACGGAAATGACAGCACTATTGTTATTGACTTATTGGGAATAAACCTTGTGACTAATCACTTCCAGGTACAACCATAATATCTTGTAGTTTTCTACAAGATATTCTACATATTCAGAGATATTCCATCTCCAAAAAAAGCTTGGATTCACACGCTGATCTAATCCAGATCACAGTAAACTGTCGTTTGCACCTTTGATTGCACTGATTTCACTCTGTTTTGTGCCTCTCAGGCTGATTATCTCCAAGATAAAAGTCACTTTACGTGACATATAGGTTTGAAAGATGACTTATAAATACAGAAACGACAGCACTATTGTTATTGACTTATTGGGAATAAACCTTGTGACTAATTTATGAGTTTTGTGCCTTTTAACCCTATAATGCCAAATGTATCATATTTGACATACGGTTTCTGAAATGTTTTGCGTCTGACACCTTTTGCATCATTCAATGGTAAAAACTTTGCTCAAAATCCTATTGTACACAATCAGAAATAATCAAAAATAATCTTGACTTATCGCATAGTAATAAATTAATTATTACTATTAATATCAAAAATGTATTTCTGTTTTTTCTTTAAAAATATTTTATTACGAGGCCAAATAAGGAATTCAAACCCCCCCAAAAAGTACATTTCAGTTGTTATATTCTTGGATCAGGCTTTAAAGGGTTAAGCTGATTATCTCCAAGATAAAAGTCACTGTACGTGACATATAGGTTTGAAAAATGACTTATAAATACAGAAATGACAGCGTTATTGTTTGGTTAAGACCTGGACTTATTGGGAATAACCCTTGTGACTGATTTATGAGTTATTAATGAGTTATTATGATATCAATCTATGGAAAAAGTTCATATAAAAAGCATTTTTAAATGAAAACTGTTAGCAAAATGGCTCCTCGTGTGCAGGGTCCTGACCTCGGGCGGTGGCTACCTCTCCCTCGTACCAGGCCAGGCAGTGGAAGGCCGTGGGGGCGATGCCCACCGGGAAGCTGATCTCCGTCCCCTGCACGGTGGTGCGCGTGTCGCTCACCGAAACGTCCCTCAGGATACGAGGCCGCAGACGGATCCTGAAGGGAGAAGCACAGATCAGGGACAAACGTCGAAAGGTGTTTGCTGACCGTTCGAGGCAAATCTGCTCTGTTCTGTGCATTTTGTTTCTGTTATTCCGGTTTATCGTTGCGTCTTCAGGCTGAGTTTTGGGGTTTTGCCGTGTTTCCTCTGCCTCATTTGTAGCTATCTTCCTGAGCTTTACTGGGGTTTATTTCCTGTGCCTGCTTCTTGGTTTTAGTTTCCTCACCTTTGGTTCTAGCTCAGCAACCCAGCATTGCTTCACTTTACATGCCACATCTGTAATAAACATCAGTTCTCATGATGCTTTTTCTCCGGTCCTGCAACTGGATCCTCACTTCCAGGTACAACCATAATATCTTGTATTTTTCTACAAGATATTCTACATATTCGGAGATATTCCAACTCCAGTTACAGCAAATAATGCTTAAGGACAGACTCTAAAAGCGTAAATAGAGAACATCAGGGTAGGACACCCTGTAGAGACACCAATCCTGCAGACTAAACCGTCATGTGTCACTATCCCAGTGGTAAATCAAACTAAAAAAACACCCGGGGAACAGTGAACCAGCAGCTGCCTGACAATAAGCCGAACATGAGCACAAAAACAGTACACTGTCAAACAGCACAAGCTCAAACAACAGATGTGTGTTCTTTTATTTCTCTGTGGTCCTCTTAAGCCCAACAGAAATCAGACACACACACCCACACACACACACACACAATGAAACAAAAACAAAAAACCCCCCAAAAAAGGATGATTAAATGATGTGTTTCTGGTTTTTTGACTAGCCTGTGGATGGGTAGCCAATTTCTTTTTTAAAACAGACAACCCCCCATCCTCCCCCTCCTCCCCGGATGCTTTACAGTTTTAATGAAACACTTTGGTTGTGCATCTGTGACCTCCATAAATAAAACGTCCTGGGCGGGGGCTTTTTTCTTTTTCTTTTCCTACCTCTTGTAGGCCAGCAGGTTGTCGTCTCTGGTGCAGCACTCGTCGGCCCCGGCCGCGTAATAATCCCAGGTGGCCTTCGAGAGATGCTCCTTCGCGTACTCCTCGAAGTCCGTGAGGCACACCATCGCCATGTCCGCGCACTGACCCCCCTCCCTGCGGGGGGGAGAAGAGCTCGGACAGCTTTAGCGCGACGCTTTTCGATAGCCACTGCCTCCATGAGTTTGGATAGAGTCACGTATAACATTTCCCACATATAAACCCACATATTATACACTCAAAACAGCTCTGAGCTCGGTACAACCCCATGCTAACCTGGTGACCTGCCGCAAATTAATTAAAAACTTTGGACCGGTCAAGTGTTATCTTATCTGAACAAACAATCACAGCTTCTAAACTTACCAAACAGGACCAAATAATTAAAAAGAAACTATTTCTCCTTCTTGCAAAGCAACCGAAGTGGCGAGGTCACTGCACAGGCCCGAAAAACTCCCCTTTTGCTGGTAAATGTAGGTCGGTCAATCAGTAACTCGACGGTCAAGCCTCCAGACTTTGACACGTGACTAAGAAAAGTAACTCCTGACCCCCCCGGGGTCACTTTTGTGTCAAAGGGATGCAGAAATGTGAGGGATATTCTTCTGAATTACGTTCGTATGGATGGTTCAGTATTTTTGTGTGGAGAGAAATAAAGGTCAGGACGTGTTGAGTCAGGAGTGGACACACACAGACCGGTCAGTTTTGGTTAAAGCCGTCTCAGGGCAGACGGTGTGTTCAAATCCCCCTCACCCCAGACAGATTTCACTCTATTCATGGGAACCTTTTAGCCTTCAAACACTGCCTATCTGGGATGTAAAATCTGAAAAATCTACATATTTTGTTGCTTTTGTGTAACTGTACCCTTTCTTCTAACGTTAATCTTTACTCAGACAACGTGTGGGTGTTTATTTTTTTTATTTTTTTGTTCTGTCGGCCGTCACAAACATTGCAAATGGTTTTCTTTCCTTCGCCGAGAACTTGTTTAGCTTTTAAGCTAGTGCGCGTCGGTGTTGTGGTTTGTACGGTTTCCTCACAGCAAAAGGGTTCCTGGTTCAAATCCCGGATGAGGCCCGTCGGTGTGGGGTTTGCACGCCCGCCCTGCGCATGCTCGGGTTCTCTCTGGGTGCTCCGGCTTCCTCCCGCTGTCCAAAAAACAGGCAGGCAGGTTAGTGAGGGACGCAGAGTAGGAGTGCGTTAGCATGGTTGTCTGCTTAAGACTGAGACTATATTAAGTAGTGTAAAACACTCACATACTGTATATCTCTGTGTTTTAAAGGGAATTGTGGAGCTGTGTAATTCAAAACAAAGAGACGACCACGTCTACAGCTTTGCTCTCTTTTGGCTTTGACTGACCGTGTTGGATCGAGATGAATAATCAAGGCCCAAATCTGTGTTTTTAGATCTTTTCAGCCATGTAAGACACCAGCTGTTGACTCTTGGACCACATCTGACCCTAGAAATGCACATTTGGGCAATAACTGAATATCAATTTGGTCAAATTCCGTCATTGCCCTTGATATCTCGAATGTTTAGCACATTTACTAACTTATGAGTCATTACATCTGATAGAAGAATAAACCTTTTTATGTTTAAGTTTTCTGCTTGGGTTTTAAATCGGACGAGTCCAGGAGCTCATGTTGAATTTGGCCCATTCTGACATACTTCCAAATGGTGTTCTCAGGTCAGGCCAACCCTAAGCGTGGGACAGGTTTGATACACGACCGGGAGGAGAAGTGAAGGTCTCGGATTGTGAGTCGTGTAATGAACACGAGCACATGCTTCGTTCTGTGAGTTGAGGTTAAGCTCTACAGCCACCTGGACAGAAAACTGTTCATTTCTTTGCTTTTTTTTGGTCTATTTTTCTGTCAATGCAGCTGTTGTTGATTTTGTAATTGATGCTTAACCTAACTTAAAAACAGATTTTCTGCTATTCTCTCTTTTTATGACCATACAATCGCATTATTCAGTCAATAAAAAACAAAAAGGGCCTCAAAAGCCTGGACAAAGCTGCCCCCCAGTGGCGACTGGTGTCCTAGCAACGGACCCGTTCTGATTATATTCTGAACAAAAGTTGAATTTTACAGGCATCTGTTTTCATTTGATGATATCTGAAACCGAAGAAGATACAATGGCTTTGCTGCCTGAACATTTTGGATTCCCATCATTTGAACAAAAAGGGATTGGTAGTTGTTTTAGTAAGTGGACACAGAAGCAGTCTTAAGTTCAAAGGACATGAATGAGTTCATTAACGGAGCATGAATTCAGATGTTAACTCTTCCATTTCCTGCTAAATCTGCATAAATGTAACTGCAAATGAACGTGAAAACAACATAATGTCATGTCATCCATGAATTTGAAGTGTTTGCTAGTCACACCTTCTTTAAATTAATGATTTTAGACGTGAGTCATCTTATAAATTTCACAATAGCTCCACAAAATAATTGTTAAATGTTTGATTGAAAATTAAGAATTTAAAACGAATCCAGATCTGAATTTGCATTTACAGCTACAACATGAGTCATTCAGGCTATTTTACAAATTTATAGACGATCATTTGATACATTTTTTAGTCTGAATTGATTAATCTAATTGGATAATGTGACACTTTCTCTCTGTCTGTGTCTTCTAAGTGAAGTTTTTTTTATCCAGATGTCTTTAAAAAGTTTTTAGGGCCTCCACAGCCTCCCCGTTTACTCACCGGTTGCTGCTCATTCTCTCTCAGCTGAAGCTCTTCCTCCGTGCTAGCCTCATAACCTGTGAACTGCCCCCCCCCACCACCCACCCGAGACCAAACAGAAAGCACACAGGTTACTGCTGACTCCGGCCACGTCCATTCACCTCCTGACCACCACCCCTCTGCTGCTGGCACCACGGTGACCCCTCCGGGCACAATGGCCGCCGGTAGAGAGATCACAATAAGCTGCTGCTCCTCACAGTGATGCTACAATAAGCACATCAACAGGCCGAGCAGGAACCACCTCTATTTTACTTGCCCCCATTTAATGTGCCGGTTAACCCCCATTTATTCCCTTTTGGTGTGCAAAGATTTGGTAAAAAACTGTTTTTCTGAGGATAGCAAAGGCTTTGGGGCAAAATCCTCCACTTTGAATTATGGAGGCAAACACAAAATTTGAATTTTTTTCGAATCCATTCTTCATATATCTTTAATTCCTCTCTTTCTTCAACAGATATGGTTTGTTTCCCTCAATAAATCGTTGTTAAATTCAGTCTCATTCTTTCCAAAATGCCTCTGATTTGTTAAGCTGCTTATCCAAACCACTGATTCAGAGCATCTCAATTATTGTTGAATGGCCACTGAATATTTTTTGTTAACTCTATGAAGTCTCAACCAAGAAAAAAGTGGATTGTTTTGTCGTTTTACAAAACAGTTAATTGAATAAATGAAACACATAAAATTATATGATCTTCTCATGCATTTTAGAGTTAATTCGATTAGTAACCTTTGCGTATTTTTGTGATTAACTAGAATACAAAAAGAAAGGAAATCTGCTCTTAACTATATTTAAAAGTATGTTTTTGGTATCTGATGATGCAGGTCTCAAAAATCAATGTGTCAAATACAACTAAACCAAATCTAAAGGGTCAAAACATCCGCAAAACCTTTCAAAAGGTAAAAAGATCCGTTCTAGTAATCCTATAAGCATCCTTTTTTTGTGGAGTTACCATGTTTGCAAGTTCTTTTCATGAAGCCAGTCGTGTTAAGGCTTTTCATTTTAACCAAGTATTGATATAGATAAAAACAAAATACCCCAAAAAACTATTCCTTGTATACCTCCAATTGTCCTTTTTTACATAAAAACTGGGGAAGCAGATCATAATTTTTGTTTTAAAACCTTTTTAAAGCGTTCTTCCACTTTGTTGGTATGATTTCTTATTAATTTAACAAGTGTTGGGCAACCACTAAAAGTACATCTGAATGCCGGGTTTTTGGAGTAAATGCAAAGCCCCAGTTCACTTTAAGTTACTAGAGTCATTTGTAATCAAATGACTGGTTGAACACAACGGTAAGAGCTTTTACAGTTTGCTTGATGGACTGTTTGCAGCCATAATTCCTGACATATTTAACCGTCTGACAAAATTAAACAAAAATACACAAACAAATTCAGTTTTGCAGGAAATTTAGCTTCATCATCTTGTATTTAGCGTCCTTTCCCACAGAAAAATAGATCAGCAAGTGCAGCATAACAAAGCATACCACATTTAAATGATGGAAAATCTTTTTTTTTTGCAAAACCGACCATGTGCTGATCCAGTTACTGGTTTATTTAACGTGTTTGTGGCGGTGGTAATTCATATTTTGGATGGCTAAATCGCTGCTGAACGAAGGGGATGAGGAAAATCTTCTTTTAGCTGGTTTGCTTTGCTTTGTTTGTTTTTGCCCGCTTCTCGACGTTAGTCACTGAGTTCTGGTTTCTACAGCTGCCCATTTAGTTTGGCTGATGACCCAGAAAGGCTTTTTTGGTAATTTCTGTCTTGGTAGCGTTGAATTAGTTTTCTAAAAGCTTAGCATGAGTTTTAAAACCCGCATTCAATTGACACAATGCTTGAAATATTTATTTTTCTTGGGTCTATAAACACGTTTAACGTAAAACTATAATACATAATACTCATTGAACACAAACCACCTCATAGAAGTGACGATTTAAGCCATTTTGAGCGTAAAGTCAAATGAAATTGTTAAGATTTGATCCAGTTTTGAAGGCGATTGAGGGTTTTTTTTTCTTACATAAGCTTCACATTCTGTCACACACCTGGTTTGAGTGATCTAGAAACATCTCTCCAGCATGAGCCAGCAGCTCTGAACTTTGAACACTTGATGGCAGTGCAGTACTGAAGGAGGTCCGATCTTCCAAATGGAAACGTAAGGCTTCCACAATTTAAAGGAAGCGTCTACACGCTTCTGGCGAAAGAACGAATGACCTTTAACCCCTCTCACTGAGCTCTGTTTAAGACAACCTGACAGCTCCCATAGAAAATATTAAAAAATGTCAAATATAAGCTGTAAAAATACAACACAAACATGACTAAATGCTGAGATTTTCCCTGTATCTTATTTTAGTGAATTTTGCTATCATGTTTTTTACCACCAGCCATAACTAATAGGACTGATGTCTCTTTTTTTTGGAAGTGACGCTGTTTATTTTGGGTGTTTTTCTTTTAGCCTCTATCACGTGCGGTCTGCCAAAAGCTGAATGGCTGCTGGGAGCACATTGTTCAGGTGAAATTCCAGAAATCCTGGCGTGGAGTTTCAAAAAAGAGGCCACCGTTCAGCCACGTTAGTTTGTGGAACACAGAAATCTGAATCTCCGTATATCTGACTGTATCTGATTTGCTGCACCCAAAGGCCCAAAGCCCCCCTCGTGGCTCTTTATTGATATTAATCCACCTGGTGGAGAAACACTAGTTTCTACCTGAGGGCTACGAGGAAAGTGGACAGAGATAATTCTAATAAAATGAGGTGATGTAGTGGATAAAGTCTCCGTCTTACCTTGGTCTGAGGTGTTTAGCGGGCCTGTGCTTGTGTTGGCTCCCCTCTCATGTGAGGGGGTCATGTCAAAGGGCATTTCAGCCAGCATCCACCCCCCCC